CAAGCCGAAGGCATATGCTGTGGCCCGACTGAGCTGAAGTGACAACCGAAGCGGCGAGAACTGCCGAAGGCCGGCCGCTCGCCCTGCAAATGACAGCTGGGCAGAGCCAGCCATGATGTCACGGCTGGCTCCGCCCAGTTGTAATGACAGATCAGCGATAATGACACTGATCTGTCATTAAACAATAACAACTGGGCGAAGCTGGCTGTGACGTCACGGCCGGATCCACCCAGTTGTTATTCATTGGCCGGGACCTGCTAGAAGACTCTAGCAGTGCAGGCCAATAGGAAACAGTTAGGCGGAGTTAGCTGTCACTGTTAGCTCCGCCCAATTTTTAAAAAAATATATTTTTTAATTTCACTATTAATTTAAATTTTTTAAATATTTTTTTAACCTTTTTTTTTTCTACTACTTTCACTATCTTCTATTCTGCTTGGTACCACGGAGGTACCGAGCAGAATAGCCAAGCTGAATGCCTGAATAGGGGCGAACAGCAGGGAGTGAGCTGCTGGAGCTTCGGCTCAGCTGATCCAGATGTTGGATCGACTGAGTCGAACTCCTTCTGCACTTTAGCTCAGCCCAAGGCAGCCGATGTACGGCTGATTTTTGAAATCAGCCGTACAAGCCAGAAGTGAATAGCCGAACAGCGTTCAGCTCACTTCACTTCGGCTCGGTTATTCACTCGGCTGCCTTTGGCAGCTTAGTGAATAATCCTGTTAGAAACATTGTATGTTAATGAGAGGAAGCTCAGTCTATCCCTCTACTTTCACTTTCAAAACTGCTCGGAGTAGCCTGGAATCTGCACAAAAGTCTTAACCCAGAAAATGTCTAAAAAGGTAAGAAATATTTTGTAAATTTTTTTTTTTTTAGGTATACTGTGTAAATGGAAACAAACAAACATGCAGCAGGGGTTTTTTTTCTCAAATCTGACTACAAAAGTGAAAATACCATTTAAATTGAGAAATAAAGTTGAAACAAAAAAAATCTGTATCAAATGTATGCTTATATATTTGAAAAAAGAAAAAAAGCCCCAAAAAGTTTTGGGCCTGTTCCAAGAAATGACACCTTTGACATGAGGCTACTCCTGCTTAATCAGGATCTAATCTAGAATTCGCACTCATTTCCCCCCTACATATCTAACTAAGAACAAGCAGGCAGCTGTGACATTCTGCAAGTCAAAGAACTAGCAAGCACCCATAAATCTATGAAGCTGAGAATTCCAGTCAAAAAATCAGCTATTTTACATACAACATTATAAATATTACAAAATTGCAATTCCAACTTAAAACAATGCTAGTACATGTACTCAAGAGTGCAATAAAATGCTAACTGCTGTTCAGTTTGTAATCTGCAGCACTGGAAATAAGGATGCATTGGCCATGCAACCAATCAGATGCTTGTTCTAAGTTTGGCCATATATTCTATGCCAATTTAAGGGTCTGATATAACCCGCACTGAAGAAATTACAGCTGAAATATGGTTGGCTGCAAAAGCAACACTCTTTTGTTTTAGGTTTCATAAATGTATTATATACATACAAGAATCCCCCTGTGGAAGTTTTCATGTTTTACTGTCATAAAACATAGAATCACAGAGGAATGTATTCATTTACAGTGACTAAACAGTATTGGTTTTAAGTAGGGATGTACCGATACAATTTTTTCGGTATTGAATATGAGTGCCGATATTTATCTTTCGGTACTCGCCGATACTGAGTACCGATACTACCGATACCGGTACTTCCACTAGCATGGAGCCAGCTTCCCGGCCAATCAGGGAGCCAGGTGACATGTCATTACCCGTGTAATCAGCATCAAATCGGCTCAATGTTGATTGGCCGGGAAGCCAGCTTCTCAGCCAATCAGCATGTAGCTGACCAAACAACATGGAGCCAGGTTCCTGATTGGCCGGGAAGCAGGCTTCCTGGCCAATCAGCATGGAGCCAGCCAAACAGGAGGGAGCCAGCTTCCCGGCCAACCAGGAAGCTGGGTAATGACCCACCTCCCTGATTGGCCGGGAAGCGGGCCCTAAGTTCCCTCGTGGCACTGCCGGTCAGAGAAAATATCCCTCTGACTGGAAGTTTAGGTATCAGGGGTAAGTTTTAGAGCATTTCAGCATCTGAGTACTCGTACTCGCTCAAATACTCAGTATCGGTACCGATACCGCTACTAGTATCGGTATCAGTGCATCTCTAGTTTTAAAGTCATTCTTGTTTAGTTTTGGTTTTATGGTTAGTGCCATTGTCTTGCTGATAGACAAGTATTCTTCCTAGGCTCTTACAGCTTGCATCAGGTTTTCCTTCAGGATTTTCCTGTATTTTGCCGTATTCCTTCTACCCTCTAGCCTCACAAGTCATCCAAGGCCTGCTGCTAAAAACCCACAGCAAGATGCTGCTACCAACATGGTTTGAGGAGGGGGATGATGTATTTATGATGCTATGCAGGGTTTGGTCTGGCCAGGGCCGGTGCTAGCCTATTTTGCGCCCTAGGCAAGACCAGCTACTTGCGCCCCTAAAATCAATGGGACCGCAGCCATGCCCCCCACCTGCAGTGCGATGGCCTGCACTATGCAGCATTTTTTCCAATCGCACTGGACCGGAAAGCAGGCATTGATGTGCCCCACGTTCTGGTGCGGGTGATCGCACTGCTAGTGGTGATCACCTGCTCCCACCCCAGAACGCAGGGAGCCTTCAGCGCTTGTTTACACCAAGTGCGTTGCAGCGCAGTTAGCTGCTGGAACGCATTGCATTGCCCACTAAACTCCCCTATGCTTCACACTATGTGATCCAGTCTGTTCCAGCAGTGTATCATGCTGGAACGCACTGGAGCTGCTCAGGGGCATAACTAGAAATCACAGGGCCCCATAGCAAAATGTTATACCATCAGCTATAGAGGACTACAAATCCCAGCAACATATTATACAGCAATTTAGAATACCACCAGCTGATCTCCATTTATTTAATTATGAGACTTTGGCAGCACCAGTGATGATTCTGGTGTGTCATCGCTAGTGCTGCATAACGTACACTTATGCAGCACTAGTGATGATTCTGGTGTGTCATCACTGGTGCTGCATAAGGTACACTTATGCAGTTATTTTGTGTGTTTTAATTTGCAATTCATTTAAATTACTTTGCAGAAGTCTGTTTTCACTTTGACATTTTCACTTTCTTTGAAAAGAAAGAAAATGAAATCCACTGTGATCCAATGTTCTATGACAATAAAACTTGAAACCTTACAAGGGGGTGAATCGTTTTTATAGTCCAATATACGATATAGTCACGATACCGATAGTACAGTGAAGAAGTAACCCAACACAAGGTACTTAGACAGGGAGGCAGAACCCTTTTGTGACTTTTTGAGCTTTTGTTTATCTTTGTTCGAGTTTTTCCATGATGTTCTAGCCACTTGACAAATGGGGATAAAAGAATATAACCAGGTTTTCAGCAATGCGGTGCAAGCATAAGATACCAAGCAATATAATCAAGATTTCAAATACTCTTGAAATTTGTCATCTGCTTTAAAATGAGGAAAAGCTTTACAATTGTGCAGTAAATAAAGCAATACTAATTTAAAGAGATTACATTAATCCTAACCTATCTCTGCATATGTATGTACACCTTCCGTGCTATATTAGTATAGCTAGGTTACTGTCAGAGGTCTACAAATATAGACTAATCAGAAAACAATGTTCAAATGTAACAAAGCACGCTGCAAATGTTTCAGCAATGCTGTGATTCTCACTGCTATTACATGCAAGAGAATAAGTAAATCGATATAGGATTTCATACTCTCTGTTGTACGTTTGTGTCGCATGTAATGGACAATTATCACACTGAATGTGAGGTGATACAATAACAAACAGAATAACAATTTACCCCCAAAAAAGAAACCTGTACTAAAGTGACTCCCTACTGTTGCTTTCTAGGCAATACAGTGTAGATCAGCCTTTCTCAACCAGGGTGCCTTAAAATGTTCACACAGTGTCATGCCTTTCCATGGTGCAGGCAGACTGGCCACCAGCACCATGGAAATAAATGAGGCCATTCTATGGAGGATGAAAAGGACAGAGGTTCGACTCCCTCTAGGCATGATACACCTCTCACCCTCTGCCATACTGCCTCCTGAAGAAGGAGGGACTGAGGACTCAGATATGAAGGCGGCTTCTTATGTAAAAGAGGAGGACTTCTGATGTAAAGAGGACTCCCCTTTTTTTTTTTTTTTGCAAAGCCCACAATCTCAGATAAGGGACTGGTATGAATTTTGTAGAGACCACAGGCCATTTTTTACATTTTAGACTAGGGTGTCTCGAGATATTACATACTTTAAAAGGGTGCCGTGGCTAAAAAAAAAAATTGAGAAACACTGGTGTAGATTTCCAGCCACAGGAATAGGTGAACTTAGTGAAATATGACAAGATTTGCTGTGCTTATAGGGATGAGAAAATTTAAAGTGTATCCAAACCAAGAACAATATATACTATAAAACACTGCAACTTGTCAGTCCTGAAATACGGTGACTGCATTCGTGTTCAGGTTTATTTCTTTTCACAGCAAAGATACATTTCCTTTTCATAGGGTGTCAACACTCACTGTATTGTATCTGTGGAGGAGCAGCGTTGTCACCCTAGGACAGGGCTACAGAACACCTTTCCCTCTCCTCATCTCCATAACATGGGGGTATTCTGTAGTCTACAGAAGTAAACTGGGGAGAGCTAATAACTGCTTGAGACTGCAGTGGAGAGCAGGCAAAGAGCACAGGAATTTACAAGCTCACTGGCAGGATCAACATGTATTTTTTTTTCCACTTACAGAACAAATATTTAAAAAAAACACTTTCAATTGTATATTTTTAACAGACCAAAGGGGAACAAATAAGAGAGCTTTGTATGTACTGTTCAAAACAAAACAAAAAACATGCAACAAATGCATAAATCATTGTTGGACTATAATTTTTTTCTAGGCCCAGAAAACTGGTCCATTTTTATAGCTTAACTCTTACCTCATCTCCTCTTAATATTTCAGAGCCATCAGAATCTCGGACCTGACTCGATTTCTGTGCTATCTCTTTCTCGAAATTGGCAATCTCTTCCTTAGCATCCTGTAATTCTTCAGCTTTGGTTTCTTTCTTGCGCGAAATGATGGCTGCCTGTAAAGAAGGTCAGAATATGTGTACACATAAATATATTTGTGTTGTACACACACATTCCTAGTTCCAAGAATTCTGTCATTCTGTTTTTAAAGTTAAAAAAACAAACAAAAAAAGCACAAAACCTTTTATTATAATTATATAGTTACTTATAAAGCAATCAGAATATCTGAAAAGTCCCCGTGGATATGTTTGCCCCACTCTGAGAGGAAGCTTTTCTGCAATGTAGAAAACAGTAGGCTCTCATGGTCCCACCTGTGTTTCAGTGCTAATTGCTAAATGCATGAAAAACAAAAATGGACCAGGACTTCTAGTACACTGTATATAAAATATATATCATTTCTTTTACATCAGCCTTCGTACCAAACCATTGCCCAACACCATAAATGGAGAGTTTCATCATTTTCCATAATGTCTAAGATCACACTTATTTGACTCACTTTCTTACATTGTTTTACATCAAATACCTACACAGTGAAATGATGGCAGTTTTATTGGTTGATTTTTATCATTTATATCTATAAAATCCATTATAAGAGATGCTCATGTCTCAGGCAGAAAAAATATCCATCAGCAATCATATCTGTAGAGATTTATTTGAATACATACTTGCTGCCGAAAAAGGGACAGTTTGTCATCTGTCGGGTCATTTCTCATTCTCTTTTCAGTCAGCTGATTGATTTCTGTATTAACTTCTTGGATCTAAAAACAGAAGCAAAAAAACACCATGGTGTCAATTGGCAATACCTAAAAGAAAGTTAAAGGAGAACTATGACATGAGTGATTTCCACTCACCTCATAGTTCTAGCCGACCTGTGACAATGAGACTGTCACAGGTCGGCTCAGTAGATCGGGAAGTCAACGAACACATACCGGTGTTCGCTGACTTCTCGATCCTGTCACGGCTCTCTGCCGTGACAGGGGAGGGGCTGGATTCCCCCCTCCCCGCTCCGATCCGCCAGCGCTGACTGGCGGAACGGACGGGGGAGGGGGCGGGTACAGCTGGCTCTGCCTCTAGATAGGGAGAGCCAGCTGTCACTCACGCAGCTGGGCGGATCTCGACATCGATGTCGGGATCCGCTCCGGCTGCGGCGTCTCAGTATACCGCGAGCTGTAGCTCGCGGTATACTGAGTTTAAGGTGACGGGAGGACGCTAGTTTGTGTCCTCCCGTTACCCTAAGGAGAACTATTGGGAAAAACACTGACCCCATAGTTCTCCTTTAAGTGAATGTTGCTTTTAACCAACCTCCTGTAATGTATAAACATAAAACATATAATTTAACATATGTTATATTGACTCCTTGGTCACATATAGCCCTGTTACCACTTATTGTTCAGCCCTCTGTGCCTCTTCAGACAGGAGTCTGGCTTTTCCTTACTTACAGTAGGTGCTTACTCAAGCCAGTGAAGCTAAATGTTTTTAGAGTGGCTCCTGGAAGTGAAATGGTTAAAGAAAGCCTCCAGTCTTAACAATTCCCTTAACAAGTTTGCAGTCTCTAACCATCTACTGCAGCATGTATGCACTTCCTGACTATCCCATGTAGCATGTCCATTGTCTATGATCATCTCCTGTTGCATAGCCACAGCCTCGGATAGCTTTCTGTAGCATTACGGTTAATAAATATAATGGTGGCCCTTTGGTGATGCCAAGAGCTGAACTTAAGGTCCCCTATATCAAGAAAGTTGGCCACCACTGCAAATCACTGTAGCAGGGGTAGGCAACCTCAGCACTCCAGCTGTGCTAAAAATACAAATCCCATCATGTTTCTTCCTCTGAGAGCCATGTCTGTGGCTATCAGTCTTGCAGTGCTTCATGGGTCTTGTAGTTTTAGAACAGCTGGAGTGCTAAGGTTGCCTACTCCTGCACTACAGTTTGACATTTTAACGTTTAGACTTCTATGTGACTACATGAAGAACCCATATACCAAGCAGACATACCTATTTTTTAAAATGTCTGTGAACATTCTCTTATACATCTACAGAGAATTGGCACTGTGCTATTAATAAATGTTGTGACACAATAGCAAATGTTCATATTTCTGACGGGCTCTGACTGATCACATGTACAACAGTATTACAGCACTTCTATTGTCTCCAGTAATTAATTTACATAATAAAAAGGGAAAGGGGAGACACATTTTCTAATGTGAAGTGTGTCTTTACACTGCATTTAAGCACTGAATATGTAGTTTCTGCAGTAGTAGCTTTCTCTTTGTTGCTTAACAGGCCCACTTTGCTTTTTTTCAGTAATCCGTGCCCAGAGTATTATAACTGACTATTAGGTCAAATGTATTTTAGGCATACCTTAGCTTCAAGCTCTGTAAGATCAGATTGGTCAACCACTTGTTCACTGACAACTCTTTGCATGAAGCTCAAGGTCTGTCGCTTGGACTCCAGTTCTTTAGGAAGCTTTTCAGAAACCATATATGAATTAAATTTTATTTCTTCTTCAAGTCTTTTCATTAAGCCTGCACGTGACACAGAAAATACAAATAGGATTTTATTTTGTTGAGAGAAATATTGAAATGTAATGTTTCTAAAATGCTTTTTAATATAACTGGCTACAGTGGTAAATGGAAAACGTGTTAAAAACACTAATTATTATTATTATTATACAGGATTTATATAGCACCAACAATTTGTGCAGCGCTTTACAAAATGAAGGAGACAGAACAGTTACAATATAATTTCAATACAGGAGGGTCCTGCTCATGAGACCTTACAATCTAGTTGGAGGGGCAAGCGATACAAAAAAGGTAATAATTGTATGGAATGAGGTGATGGAAGAATTAAAAGGAAATGTATGTTGAGGCAGGATAGGTTTCCTTGTAGAGATCAATTTTCAAGGATCAGCTAAAGGTGGACAGGAGAGTAGGAGATACATGGACAGATTGGGGCATGGAGTTCCAGAGAATTGGAGAGGCTCTGGAGAAGTCCACAAGGTGAATATGAGAGGAGATGATGAGGGATCTAGAGAGCAGGAGGTCTTGAGAGAAGCAGAGAGGATGATTTGGGTGATATTTTCAGATGAGGTTTGCGAGAAGATTATTATATTATATTCACTATTGAGCCGAAGGATCTAGCCGTAGCTTCGGCTGATCCTTCGGCTTGCGTCGGCCGAACCGAAGAGCTGCTGTACAGGCTGTTCACAATAGCCCATACAGCAGCCGAGCCGAACGCATATGCTTTGGCTCGGTTGAGCCGCAGTGACAGCCGAAGCGGGAGAAGGTCGGCCGAAGCTGACTGCTCTCCCTGCAAAAGCCAACAGCTAGCCTGTCATTACATGAGAACAGCTGGGAGGAATAACCCCCTTAGTGTCATGAATTTTATTCGTTGGGCAAGCGAGAGCCAGCAACAGTATTTTATGTATAGGAATTACTATGCCTTTGTTTATGAGATTGGTTCACTCCCCTTCCCCGAAATGTACACAGAGATTGCAATCAAATTGCTTGCATTCCTTGCAGTAGGAGGTTCATCTTTTAGTTACCATAAGTACTCTCTAAACGCTTACATGCATAGAGATACCGGGCTGCAACTTTTTTTTTTTTCATTACAAACACTGGGAAAGACAGACCCTCACACTTGGTAAATGATTTTAGAAAGTGTTAGCAAGGCCTACATTAGCATCTACAAGACAAAAACATCTAAATATCTGCAATAACATTTGATAAAATCCTTGCAATGTAAATAGGTGACTTGGAGAAAAATGTTTATTTCATGTAAATATTATGTCATAGAGTGGCCTATAAAGCTGAATTTTAGCAGTCATACAGTCTGCTATTTTGTAAAATGGACAGGTACGTATCAGCCAATTATTTATTGTGCATTTGTGAGAGCTGTTAAGAGATGCGTTCGAGTTTATGTGATAATGTAATTCAGGAAAAAATGTTGGGTCCTTGCACATTCCAAACATAAGAGCTTTGTGAACCTCTATCCCCTGACATATCTCTGTCCAAAAATGACTCACTCTTTTAACTGCACCAGTTAAGTAATTTCTTAAAATGGAGAGAGCTTTTTTAGAGCCTAACCTATTTACCAGGAATCAGTGATGTGAATTGATTATACGAATTGTGCCTGCAAAAGGAAAATACAAATGTGCCGTAGACCTTACAAGTAAAAATAAATGATTTTTATTGGCCCCAGTTCTCCAAACCGCTAAAAGCTGAACTTTGATTGGTTGCCATAGATGACTCTATACATATTCTTTTTTATTTAACTTTTTACTCCATTGTGTGTTACCAAGTCTCCCCTTGGTCTTCCTATTTCCTCTTGCTTTGAGGATTCCACTTGCCTTTTGGGCTCACAATTGCTCTTCTGAAGGATGTAGCCTGTCCAATACACTTTAATTCTTTGATCATTTTTGTAATGGTTGGTTAATGTCTAAAATTCAGCACAGGAAAGCACTTCTTGCCCCCTGATGCTAACAATTCACCAAAGAGATACATTGACTATAGTTTGACAGTCGCATTTTCAACCTTCCCCTAGGTCTCACATGGATAATGTAAAGTAAATGGCAGTACATTATTACATCTTCAGAATGATCTTCAAGACCCCACTATATTGCTCTCTCATTGTCCTTCTTGACTTGTTCAAGATAAGCGGGAAAAATATCAAAAGACTAATTTTTGTGAAAGACCACAGCTGACGTTTCCTAAAGTTGTCAAATGCCTACACCAGGGCTCTTGAGGAAGTGGTGGGATTAACGTATGCAATGCATCAAACCTTCTCAGTATACCTGACCTGTAGATTTTCAACTCGCATACAAGCTAAGTATCGCTGATTCAAATCAAAAAGAAAATAGCACAAATGTGCAAAACCACATTGTATAGTATTATAGTTTATTTGAATAATGTAAAAACACACTTACAATGTGAAGGACTTTTACAGACTTATCAAGTGAACAGAGAGCCACTCAGACCAGCTGCCACATTTTCTATGATGTCGCTGCACGCTGTCAACAAATTGGCTCTGAAAGTGTTAATCGAGCAATGGCAGGAAGATGTGCTCCCCCCACTAGGCTCTGTCCACTTCTGTAAATCAAAAAATGCATTTCGGGGATGACTTCTCTGAGATATGTTGGCAATTAATGAGGCTTCTTTCAGCTGACTTACTGAACAGGAACACAAACCCTGTCATGTGTACAATATCTTCTTGTTCATGTTCTGAATATAATAAAAAGGTCCTTGTAATGAACATTCCCATTCCACCTTGTTTCACTGAGGCCAAGGATTTCAATGTGATACTTCTGCAGCTGTGCAGCTACCTGGTCAAGCCCACCAAATTTATACAAGGACCTGATGTTTCAGAATCTCATTTTTGTTCTTATCTTAAAGTCAAAGGTTATCACCATGAAATCATTACTAATGCTGAGGTGTAACGCTGATTCTTTTATAGTCTAGCTTAAGATGTCTGAGTGACATCTGACAAAGCCGACCTCCTGTTTTGGATGCACTTTTTGAATGGTAGTACTAACTCACCAAGTAACATCATTCTCATAAGAGTCTGTTGTCCCATTAACCACTTTGGGACCCACACAGTAGCTGTGGCTTGACCTCCTGGCACAGTGGTATTTAAGACTCCTCCCATCCTCATTCCCCCAATGAGGTCATAACAGGACAAAACAGACAGAAAGACGACTTCAAAAGAGGCAAGGATTATTTAGGTACATTTGTAACTGCTGTACAGTACAGTAACCCATTCTAATAAAAATTTCCCTTTTTATTAGCCTAGTGCAGCCAAAGCAATTTAAGATTGATTAGTGATTTGTTACAGACTACTGCACTTGGAAAATTGGTCTTCCCCTTTCTGAAGAAGACTGAAAATTGCTACCTACAGTACAAACAAAAATTGAATGTAGAAATATTTTTTGCTTCAAACTGAGTAAATGAGAAAAACAGGCAAGGGATCTAAATTTGGTTGGCCACTGAGGAATAAAATCCTATACAGGATATACAACCACAACAAGGACATCACATATTCCAAATGTAAAAATACCACAAAAACTTACTATCCTACTGAAAGACAAAAACTTCAAAAATGTTTGAAAATATTAAATCATTTTTAGAGAATGTATTACCAGTGTGAGTTGCACTCTTCCCTAATTGTTTCAGATTGTGTAGGCACATAAAGTGTTTCCATGACATATTAGAAGTTTGTTTTCCGTTTGTAGATAACCATGGTTTTCAGAATGTGCAGGCGTAGAGCACGCTGTAATGACTTTGGCCAGATGCCCTGAGATTTGCTTCCAAGTATTAACTTCCCAACCAAGTGCTTACATGTACATGGTAGTAGAGCGGATTGGACTGGAATAGAGGAACTACTGCTTAATTTAGAAACAATAATTCTTAAGAATATGGGAATGATGGGACGTTTCACATCTAACAAATTAAATTTAGCTTCATACAGAAACTTCTGGTTTGTATCTCTAGGAAAACCAAGTTTTTTCTTGCTGGTTTCCTAGCATTGACTTAGGCATATAGGTACTTTAGTTCAATCTCAAGTTTACTAAAGTTTAAATTAAAAATACACAACACAATACATAACGTGTAACAATACATTAAAAGTCTTATAAGGCTTCAATGCAGGAGACATGCCTATAGAATACAGAGAAATCCGTTATAGGGTCGAGCAGAGTACATGAATTAGAAGTCCCCTCCATGAACCTCCTCCGCGCTAAGGCACATGCATCATAAGCTATGTAGGTCAGCATTAATGGAGCATATAGGTACTTTAAAATAAAACATTTTCTGTATTGGTTATGCAGGTAAGATTTGGAGCCTGCCAGGTTAAAATACAGGAATAGACCTATTTTTGAACATGCATTTGTAAGGACTGTCATTATACTTTCTTCATACTTAAGCTGGCCATGCACTGGTAGATTTCTGTACGAACGTTCAAACGAAAAATCTGGTCAGAATATCCGATAATGTCATCAGAGATTTGACGAATGTCGTTTGAAATTTCATTTGATTTTAAACATTTTTAATATTCGATTTTGAATTGAAAGGTGTTTCCCCCTGAACGAAAACCGCATTCACTGTTAGAATTTCGTTTGAGAAACATTTTCCATCCAGCCCCTTCAACTTTTTTTGTCACGGAGGTCAAAATTGATAATTGATTTGACCTCAAAAGTTATTAGAAAGTTGAACAAACGTTCATAAAATGACTTTTTCTGAATGCAATTCTACTGGCGTATGGTCAGCTTCAGGAAATCACTGCTCTGCAATATGAAGGTGTATATTACATGTCCTGACATCTGAGGAACTTACAGCAGCATTTTCTCCAAGAAAAGCAGGTGTCTCTGCCCTTCTATTACTTTTTATTAATTTATCCCTGCAATAACATTATTGTTTAAATATGCATCTATTTTTTTAAAAAAAAAGGAGATCTTCAAGGTACTAAATAATTGGAGAAAAACTGAGGGGTTTTGCCCCCTTTGCAGTTTTTTCCTCTCTAGGATTCAGTTTACTAGAAGCTAGAACTGCCAACAAATCTCAAGAAAATGTAAAAAAAGAATATAGAAAACTGTAGAGGAAACTATTTTTTTTCACATACATCTCTAACAACTGCAAATAAGGATATCTATACAAATTAGCATTTACCTTCAGGTTTCGCATCTGTCGCAGCATGTCGCATGTTTTTCAAGTGAAGTTGGGCTCTTTGTAGTTTCTGTTCTGCATTAAACAGCTTTGAAACAAAAAAAAAGGCTCTGTCAATTCACCTGCTGTGCGTTAACAGATAGAAAGGAAAAAACATCAAATAACAGTATTTGCAATTAAACTGGTTAACACCCCCAAGCAAATTTCAGACATGTTCTGTAAAGAAAAAATGACTTACTGCTCATGACATCCCTATGTCACTAGCAGTCAGGTACATGGGAAGGAATTACAACAAAACACACCTGTATATGGATACTCATAACAGAGGCCTGAACTAGTAAGGTGTGCTGTCAGTCAGTATGAAGTAATAGGAATAAGGTAGGCACATGCTTGAAATATATTGTCAAATACAAGGCTTATTAGCTGTTCTCTTATTGTAGGAACAAGTAAAATTAATAATTGGTTATATTTAATATTTTAAGCTCATTTCCTCATTTTAAAAAAACCAAACAATAAATATCCTGATTTAAATGTACTTTCTTCATCATCACTAAAAATTACGCCTTGACATGTAAACCTATATGTAAGCCTATCCCACCTCAACCTAACCACTGAACCATCACATTCTCAAATAATTCATCCTCACACAGCTACCTCCTCGTGTATCACTGGCCCCTAAAAACCAGGCAAACTTTCTATTTCTTATTATTCAGATGCTTTGTTATGACCTTTAAAGGCTTTGGCAAGGCTGAACTGTAGCCATTGAAATAGTCATCCTACCCAAATTCTAATATCTTAATTATATTTTGTACCTTTTCTGCACAATACACAGAACACTTACAAATTTGTCTGAGTGAGAGGTGAAAACCTAAGAATACCTTATTTACTACTTTATTTGCTCCTGCATGTTTGGGGAGAATAAGGTTTCTGAAGATGTGGGCTTTTTCTTATGCTGCACAGCATTGATAAAATGCCACCTTTGCATTTCAGAAACTAACTCTTGAGTTAATTTGACCCTTTGACCGTGACTTCCACAAGCCTGCCTACTGCCGATTATTTTATTCTGTGTTCACTCCAAATATGAAGCAAGAACAAGCATAAGTCTGACTGCTGAATCATCCCTGCTAATGAGTATTTTAGACAATTCAAAATTTTGACCTGCTTATCATAATTCTATTATTACATCAAGAGAACACCAGACTTTGTGATTTGGTATCGGGGGCAAGAATTATATCTCTATTGGACTAAAATTGAAATATGATCTTCTCTCTAAAGAGTCCCTTTTGATATTTGCAGGTATGAACAATCTATTGTTTCATAAGCCTTATATAAAAAATGTTCTAATCTAACCTTCCAGTACAGTTTTTCAATGCCAACACCTAAGTGTAAGACTAAAATACATAAATGTCTGCTGAAAGTTGAACATCTATATGGGATGGCATGGCATTTTCTTCCAAGTCATCTAGCATAAAATAGGCTAATTACAAAGCAATGCTTGCATAGCATACCAGATATAAAATACACATTTCATTTTTATTTTGAATGGGTGCAATGACACATTAATGGCAGCGATGCCCCCTTTTCCAAACCTTGTGGACTACCATTCTGGCACACATTTTTTAAATAATTCCATCTCCGTTTCAGCTGCACCACTGCTTTGTTTCACTTCCCCTTTGAAGGTTTCTAAATCGCCATGTAAATTCTGCCTCCATGCCTGCTAAGTAGGGCTGCAACAACTAATCGACATAATCGATTATAATCGATTATTGAAAAAGTTGTCAACGTTTTCAATAATCGATTAATCGGCTTCCGATCAGTAGTGAAGATGGTCATAGCTTCCAGCTGACTCACAGCAAATCTTCCTATTTCCACATTTCAACACAGACTGAAGAAAGTGGATGAATGAAAAACTTACTGCTTGGCTTAAGGTTAGCATTCTATTGTTTAGGAAAATCTGGAACCTCTGGAGGACTAATCAGCCCATGTGCTTCTCAAAAATGGTTTAAAGATCGGTCTCTAGAGATGTGTTCATCTGTAATCTGTATTCCTTTGTGTAGTTCATACTGTTTGTAAAGGCCAAATCTTTATTGCACATTTGCTTGACCTGAATATACTGTTAGACTTTTTTTATGTTAGCACATATTTACAAAAATATTACAAAAGACATTTAAATCTGGTAATCCAGCAGGCAGACAGAGTAAGATGTACAGATGTCAAGGAGCAGACCCACCCTTTCTATGTGTAGAGCACTCTGGGATCTGGATGCAGTGAACAACATAGAACTCAAATTAAAGAAAACCAGTCAAGACTGGGTTTATGCAAGAAACTGAATATTACGTACTAAATTAATATTGCTGCACAATTGTACTTAAAGGAGAACTATGGGGTCAGGGCTTTTCCCCATAGTTCTCCTTAGGGTAACGGGAGGACACAAACTAGCGTCCCCCCGTTACCCTAAGCTCAGTATATCGCGAGCTACAGCTCGCGGTATACTGAGACGCCGCAGCCGGAGCGGATCCCGACATCAATGTCGAGATCCGCCCAGCTGCGTGAGTGACAGCTGGCTCTGCCTATCTAGAGGCAGAGCCAGCTGTACCCGCCCCCTCCCCCGTCCGTTCCGCCAGTCAGCGCTGGCGGATCGGAGCGGGGAATCCAGCCCCCCCCCTGTAACGGCAGAGAGCCGTGACAGAATCGAGAGGTGAGAGGTGAGCGAACGCCGCTATCTGTTCGCTCACCTCCCGGTCTACTGAGCCGACCTGTGACAGTCTCATTGTCACAGGTCGGCTAGAACTATGAGGTGAGTGGAAATCACTAATCTCATAGTTCTCCTTTAACATAGATTTATAATTGTCCATTAAGCTTTGAAAGCTTAGCTTTAAGTACTTTGTCTTATCCTGATACTTCAGCTTCAGATGTCACCTGAAGTCTGACAACTGCTTCCTGATCTTACATACAGTCTCCCAAGTGGATTACTGTACAGTGTCAAATAACAGAGCCCTACCGTTTTCTACATTTTCTTCACTAAAGTGTTGTTGTTTTTTTAATGTTGTTATGTACTCTTAGGAGTTGGGAGACATCGTATGAGGACAGGTAGTTCACAGGGGTAACACGTCAGGTGTCCTATTATCAGTGACCCTCAAGCTGATGTATCTTGCTCAGAGAAAGAAAATGAACCCTAAAACGGGAGCAAATATAAATATTTTAGAAGCACACTGCACAATTATGATAATAGAAGACTATTTCTGCATTAGCCCAAAGCTGACTGGTTCTTGTTAACATAATCTGGGTGGACTTCAGCACAGTTGCAGTGTTTGTTGCATAACATTAGTAGCTCATTAGCTGCTTTCACTTGCCACCTTCAATGGCTCTTGAATCACTTTAGTAAAAAGGTTTATTAAAACCTTATTGACCCTGAAAAGTGACTTCTCACATAGTTCTGAATAGCATACCATCAGAGGGCTGGACAACTTATCAGGAAGAAAAGAAGCTGCATGAACCCAAGGCTGGGTTCACACCTGGGCGTACAGAATATGCGCGTCTGCCGTGCGTTTTTACCGTGATTTGCGGTAAAAGAAACACGCGACAAACGCGCATTTCTGAGGGCTATCCGGCTGTATCCTAATGGATACGCGTGGCAAATACGCCCCAAAGAAGCTTCTGTACTTCTTTGGGCGTAGGGTGTTTTCCTATGCGCTGTAAAACGCCCAGGTGGTAACCATGCTCATAGGCAATTATTAGTTTTCACATGTTGAGCGTTTTACAGCGCGTAGGAACGCGCTGTAAAATGCCCAGGTGTGAACCAGGCCTTAAATGGTGCTGGCGTCATGGGAGTAATTCGATTCTGGCACCTTGGTGCTGCTTAGTTTTGGGTGCCAGTCCTGGAACAAGATGACCTTGTGGTTATAGGCAGTTTCAAGTAAGGCTGCTCTGATTGGCTGCTGCTTGCCAAATGAGATTTAAGCTGTCCTAATGCGGGTCCAGCAGAAGTGTGCTTGGGAGACTGCATAGGTGGTGGATGATCTGCTAACTTATATAAATGCTGTGGAAGCTTAAAAGAGAACTATGGGCCAACCATTTTTGCCCATAAACTGTCCACCGGTGACCCAAAGCTCAGTATATAGAGGGCTATTGCCCAAAAACAGTCGAGATCCACCCCACTGGCTGATTGACAGCTGGCTCTGCCTCTCTAGAAGCATAGCCAGCTGTGCCCGCCCCATCCATTCCTGCAGTCAGCGTTGTAAAAACGGAGAGGGGAGGGAATCCCTGTGGGGAGCTGTGACCGACAGTCACCGCTCTCTGCAGGGAGAGGATCGGGATGTCAGCGATCAGCAGTATGTAATCGCTGACTTTCCAATCTATATAGCTGACCTGTGAAAGCCTCAGTGTCACAGGTTGGCTTGAATTATGAGGATGAGCGTTTTTCACTCACCCCATAATTCTCCTTTAACTGACATCTCACAGGTAATTTATAAAACACAGCAGGTCAAGCAATTAAAACTGGACTAGAGCTATTTGAAATTAAATTTTACTTCCTGCACAGTTAAGCATACACCTTTCTAGGCTGCAAAATTATTTTCACTTGAGCAGAAAGTAATTACCAAATGTTCTTCTGGCCTTCTAAGATGGCATTCATGCCAAATTATTCCAAGCATTGCAGTTATTACTGAGTATTTATATAATTGCACTTGAATGTATACATTTGTAATGAAGGATTTGGCAGATCAAAATTGCTGCAACAGAGTAAGAGCGCTGGCTTTAATTACACTCAGAAAGACAGGGTGGTGTTTGCTGGAACTACAAATTTGATTTTACATTTCCTGCAAATGAGGTGGACAAACAGCAGTTTAGCAAAGGTCGAGCTCTATTGTTGTTATTTTATTTTCCGTTTACAGACTTTGAAATAAAATTTAAAAGCAAATGATGGAAATATACCTGATTTCTTTGTTCCTGCTTCTGCTGAGCCAGAGACTCTTCCCTCTCTTTTTCTACTCGCAACTGACTCGCCATCTCAAGCATCCGCTGATGATTCTGAACCGTCTCCACCTGCAACAAGTGATGGTGCAATCCAAATTACTCAAGTTACTGTCACATACTTTATATAATAAGTAGACAGTATTATGTGTAACCCTGTCTGAACATTTCCTCTTCATGTCCATTTCTCCTAGCAGCTGACAGAGAGGTATTGGATTCAAGATGTCTAAAAGCTTTGGCCTTTGGCCTAAGGAGATTCCCTTTCCGTCACTTGCATTTTCAGCTACCTTATTACAAGTGCAACATGCTGTTCTTAATCCTTGTTTGCATTCCCTCAGCCAACAGTTTTGACATTGAAATGTTACAGTATCAGATTCCTCCTTACCCTTTTTTTAAGGCGCTCAACTCTCTTCATCAGCTGATCCTTTTCCTCTTCCATAGCTGTGATGTCCTATGAACAGTATTATGAACAGGATGAGCTCTAATTATTGAGAATGCTTTGACAATTTTTTCATTAATTAATTTTAAAAAATACATAAATTAACAAATGTAAAATGTTGACATTATATTATTGA